TCCAGACAAAAGTTCGGTAGTTCAAACCCACCAGCTACTCGTCAGAAACCATATACAGAGTCCCTATAAATTGGAACCAACTTGACAGCAATTAACAACATAACAACAACATTCTCACTTTGAAAATTAGAACATCAGGCTAGGTGACTGAAACATTTAAGGACACTTCCTCAGATACTTTCCAAGTTTGACTGTGAAGCCTTCAACACTGCTTTTTTGGAGGGCTGCACAGTACAAACACAATGAATGGTTAGATTAAAATTGTGTTGCTGACTGGCCAATAATCATGCAACTAGAACATTCTTCTGTCTTACAACAGCCTGAGTATAAAGAGGAGAGCGAAAGGTAGAATAGACGGGAACAAAGTACGGTGGACAGACAGCTGGGCCAAGAAAATAATGGCCCCAAAATAACTAAGGACTGCTAAAAGGAGTGATGGGTCAACTTAGATTTGACCTATAACCCAATAAGGTAGCTTATTCTTTGGGGAGGATAGGAAGATTTCATATATTCACTTGTGAACTGTATTGTGTCACTTGGCTTTCTGAAAAATTACATCAGTTTTGATGTAATGCTTTTGAAAAGGCAATGATAACTTTAACTTTATTTTATGAGTAATTAGGCCAAGTATATTTAATTAAGTGGTAACTTTGCTGCTTTAAAAGTACTACTTTGAAAGCTAGCTATGTTGGTTAAAAAAAAAAAGTAAGATACCTGTTTTTAACGTCTCCAGAAACACAGTTGCTGAATACTCTCTCTTCATAAAGTTTCACAGTGGCAGTGGTGATGATCATCCAGTTTAGTACTAAGGCTAAAAATGCTTCCGTGTGTTGAGATTGCACATGTGTATAAAACCTTCAGAAATGGAAAATATATATTAGTGCATGTTTCTTTGGGCAAAGTATTCTGTTTGGTTTCATAATTTGTACTTAAGCTGTTGTTGTTGTTAAGTGCCATCGAGTTGGTTCTGACCCATAGCTACCCTGGATAGGGTTTCCGAAGAGCAGTTGGTGAGCTTGAACCGCCAACGTTGCAGTTCAAACGGCTTTGCAGTCTGGTACATTAACTCACAGCGCCACACCAAGACTCCACTAAGCTGTAGAGGCATTTGAAACAGGCTTTCCTAATGGTGGTGGTGGTTATATGCTGTGGAGTCAATTCCAACTCATAACAACCATGTATAGGGTTTCTGAGGCTGTGCATCTTTATGGGAGCAGAAAGCCTCATCTTTCTCCCACAGAACTGCTGGTAGTATCAAACTGCTGACCATAAGATTAGCAGTCCAACTCGTAACCACTACGCTACCAGAGCTCCTTTCCTAATGATAGGAGTGCTATTTTATTAATAGATTAATGTAGAATTCACATCTAACTTATGTAAAATGTCTGAAACCTTGCATAGTGTGCATAGTGGTGGCTATGTGCCATAGAGTTGGTTCTGATTCATAGCAACCCTGTATGGGGTTTCTCAGGCTGTAAATCTTTACAGGTGCAGAAAGCCTCATCTTTCTCCCATGGAACAACTGGTAGATTAAAACTGCTGATGCTAGCAGCCCGATACATAACCACTACGCTACCAGAACTCCTAGTGTGCATAGTATGGGTCTGTAAATATTTGATTTCTCTTACCCCTAAGTAAGTTCAACATTTTCCACCTTACTGATTACTGCCTGTGACTATTTAAATCAGCCTATAGATTATTAATGAAATGCTATTGCAGAAGAGATTTTCAAAAATAGGTATTTCCTGCAGATACCATATCAAATTTTCTTGTACTGTAAAAAATGCAGTTTTTATTATTGCTTGTGCCTCAGCAATTTTAAGCAATTATTAAAGGGCTTGGAGAAAGAACAAAAAATGAATAATAGTTAGAAAGTTAGTTAGAAGTAGATCATTTGAAAATATGTTATATAATTTTTAGTTTTATATGGGAAGAAATATGACCATTGTAATTAAAGCCATAGGCTCTGTTGTCATACTGACCTGGATTTGAAGACTGACTCCTCCGCATGTTGATGGAGCCATGACAAGTGTCTTAACTTCCTTAAGTTTCAAACTAAAGATGCTAACAGTTGTTGTGAGATTAAATAATATTATGCTTAGAAGAAAAATGTGGCATCACGATTGGAGGAAGACTCACTAACATCCTGTGATATGCAGATGATACAACCTAGCTTGCTGAAAGTGAAGAAGACTTAAATTGTTTACTGATGAAGATCAAAGAGTACAGCCTTTGGTATGGATTGCATCTCAATGTTGAGAAAACAAAAATCCTCACCACTGGACCAATAAACAACATTCTTGTCAATGGAGAAAAGATTGAAGTTGTCAAGGACTTCATTCTTCTTGGATCAACTATCAACACTCACGGAAGCAGCAGTCAAGAAATCAAACAATGTATTATTGCATTAGGCAAATTTGCTGCACAAGATCTTTTTAAAGTGTTGAAGAGCAAAGATGTCAGCTTCATGACTAAGGTGTGCCTGACACAAGCCATGGTATTTTTAATAACCTCATAACAACAACAACAACAACAAAACAACATATGCATGCAAAAGCTGTACAGTAAATAAGGAAGACCAGAGAAGAATTGATGCATTTGAGTTATGGTGTTGGAGGAGAATATTGAAAGTGCCATGGGCTGCCAAAAGAACCAACAGATCTGTGTTGGAAGAAGTATAGCCAGAGTACACCTTGGAGGCCAGGATGGCCAAATTTCGCCTCTCATACTTTGGACATGCTGTCAGGAGGGACTAGTCGCTGGAGAAGGATATCATGTTTGGTAGGGTGGAGGGTCCGAGAAAAAGAGGAAGACCCCCAGCGAGATGGATTGGCCAAGTGGCAACATCGATGGGCTTAAGTGTGGCAACAATAGTGAGGTTGGCCCAGGATCGGGCAGTGTTTCTTTCTTCTGTGTTATCAAAAGGTTGCTGTAAATCAGTACCAACTCGATGGCATCTAACAACAACTACTGTTGTTGTGAGATTAAATAATATGCTTATAAAAGCATTTAGGGCAGTGCTTAGCTTATTGTAAATAATGTATGTTAGTTTTCATGAAACCTAATTAAGCAAAAGTTATATTTTTCAGTATATTTTAGCTTTTAATATACCTTATATTAAAACTTTTTTTTAAAGTTTTTCTTATAATTGAGAACATGGGAGAACATCAGTTTTACATTCCTCATTTCATTACAATGATTACAATCTTCTCTGTGAATCATCATTCAACAGTATTTGCTTCTATTCCCTTTGTTTTTTTTGTTTGTTTGTATTTGGGATGTACACAGAAACACTTAGGAATCTATAATCATTTAAACAACAAAAAAGCATATTCTGCAAGCTTGCCTCTTGGCTGCCAGCACACAGCCTTTCTCTTTCCGTGAGTATAGAGTCCTCAGCTGCTCCATCTTTCTGTGTCATCATCTCTGCCTCCATCTCTGGTGTCACTGCTTCTCTGGATAGGGTCCCACATTCCACTCGTGTTCTTCTCCCTTGATGGTCCTAGGGTCCTCTGTTCCCTAACGGTAAGATTAACTACTCCCCTGTTTGTTATAAAACTTCTACCTTTACAGTTGTGACAGTCGCAATTAGTCATGATAACAATTACTCATTATTACTCAAATAATCATAAAGAATTTTATCCCCATCTCCTTTAACCAGATCCCTCTAGACAAGATGAAAACTATTCAGTGGGGATTTTTTAATTTAAAAAAAGTTTTAGCAACAAATTGAATTTGAATATGTACATATTTTAATTTTAGGAAGTTGATTTTATTCAAGAATCCTCTCCCAGAGGTGTCACACAGGACATCTTAATGCCTCTGCCAGTGAGTTATGACAATATGTGTAAAATATTGTCTACCAGGAAAGCTGACTGGTGTGGCACTGTAGGATAAGCACTGGGCTGCCCAACTGTAAAGTTGGCAGTTCAAACCTACCATCTGCTGCTCAGAAACCCTGTACAAGGTCACGGTGTATCAGAACTGATTTGACAAACTTGACAACAACAGGGAATTTGACTAGACACTCAGTGACCAGGGTTTTTCCTGAGGACTAGGCACAGAATTATTCTCTACCTGTCATTTATCTGAGGAGTCCTGGTGTGATGCTGTGGGTTAATGCGCCAGGCTGCAAGGTTGGCAGTTCAAGCTCACCAGCTGCTCCTCTGAAACCCTTTACAGGGTCACTATGGGTCAGAACCAACTTGATAGCACTTAACAACAACAAATCATTTACCTGAACTCTGAATTTCAAGAAGGAAGGCAACTGTTCAGCATAGACTTGGCTGTTTACATCAACAGTGTAGGTATAGTGAGCTACTCTTGGGAATCCTCCCAAAATCTAAGTTCTCAGAGACTAACCAAGGGACAACCAGTAGAAAGGGTAATGGTCTCAGGCCTATATTTACTGTTTTTTTGCCCCTTTGAAAGAGTAAAGGTGAAGCACCTAGCATAGTTCCTGACTCTTGGTAAGAGCTCAATAGGATAAACACTGGATCACAAGGTTGGTTTGAACCACAGAGTTGGCGGTTCAAAACTCATCAGCCTCTCCTTGGAAACCCTATACAGGATCACTATGAGTCGGAACTGACTTGATTGCACTTAACAACAATAACTATTCAGGAATGCTGCTGTGGCACTGTAGGATAAGCACTGAATTGCTAACCACAGGTTGATGGTTCAAACCCACCAGGCACAACTCGGAAACACTACACAGGTCACTATGAGTCGAAATCAACTTGATGGCACTTAACGACAACAACATAGCTTTCATGTGATAAATAGAAGTACTCTGGATAGAAAAGCTAGTTTCCTATAAAAAATGAATGAACAAAAGATAGAAAAGTTAGTTTCCTATAAAAAAAAAATGAAGTGCCTGTGACTTCTCAAATCAAGGAAAACTTTATATGGTTATCATATTTAAACATCATTTTAGAGAGTGAATGCTTTAGGGCCATTTGACCTTTATTCTCTGATTTTATTTAAAATTATAGGTGATAGGAGAAATGAAGCCAACTGGTACAGACCCAAGGATATTATCGCTAGCTGCTGAAGTTGCTAAAAGTCCTGAGCAGAATGTCCCTGTTATATTGTTAAAGTTAAAAGGTAAGACAATCTTTTTATTGTTAACACTATTTAAGTAACTAAAAAATTCCATCATGGGTACAATTTTAATATTTGTTTTTAATTTATTCAGGTCAGGGAAATCTTAACACTGTATTATTTCAAGTCTTTTTCATTCTTAACGTATTTATAGTTATAACTTAACATATAAAACTACTAATCACTTTTGAATTGTTGAGAAAAATAAGTTTGTTTTGTTTCCTTTTGCTTTAGAAATAATAAACAGCACACCTTTAGGAAGTTCAGAGTTGAAGAAAATCAAACAAGATATATATTGTTATGACCTCATTCAATATTGCCTCTTGGTCCTCAGTCAAGATTGTTCTCGAATCCAGGGTGGTTGGTCTACCATTTCCCAACTTACACAAATATTAAGGTAAATTGAAGCAACAGTCAATTTTTTCTTGAGAGATGATAGAGTAGTAGATTTTGGTTTTCAGCATTTGCCTCCTTTTTTGTTCATCTGCCTAACAAGCGCTGACAACCTGCTGTGGTAAGTTTGGGTTGTTCTTTTGCTTCATAGTGATTGTTATTTTAACTCTGTATTTATTTGTATTTGTATCTACATATCCCTCCATCACACCATGGAAATGATAAACATGCCTTTTGCTCACCATGGATCTCAATGCCTAATACATATTTAATGATTATTTAAATGAATGAAGAAATTAAGACTCTGGCCCTATACTTCAGAAGTTGATAACAGAGCTGACCTCACAGCCATGTAAATGTATGATGCAAGCAGAATGAAATAGGTACATAAGCGAAATATGAGAAGGCTTCAAATGGTTTGTAGAAAATGAAATTAAAAGATAGTGAAAATTTTCCATGAACTTTTGAAGCCCCGTGCTGTATACAACCCACTCACTTGCTGTTTAGTCAATTCTGACTCATAGCAACCCAATTGTACAGAATATAACGGCTCCATAGGGTTTCCGATACTAAAGTATTATAGGAGGACAGATGTGTTGATGTAGCTATCTCAGCTGTACATTTCATTGTTACCCAAATACTGTCAATAATATTTAGAAGCAGAATTGACTGATCTAATGACTAATATAATTGAATGATCTAATGAAATTAATAGAAAAGAGATCAAAATCATTTTTTAAAGGAGGCAATAAAATAAATCTGATGTTCTCAATGCCTAAGTCACCTGTAGTTATTGTTGTTGAAAAGTGACATCTAGTCAGTTCCAACTTGGCAACCTGGCAACCCTGTATAGGGTTTCCAAGGAGCCTCTGGTGAGCTGAACCACTGACCTTGTGGTTCAAAGTGACTTTGCAGTCCAGTGCATTAGCTTCCAGCGCCTCACCAGGACTCCACCTAAGTCACCTACTTATTATAAATTAGATAATTGAAAGTGTGCATTTCAATTGGATCCTGGCTTTCTAAATTACTTACTCCTAATTTTTTACTAGGTAAAGGCCAAATCCAACATATTCAGTTAGAAAGAACAGTAGCAAATAAATGTAGATAATTTTTATGCTTCATTTTTTAAGATAAATTATTTGCTTAAGTTAATAAAGGCTTATAATTTTGCTCCATTTAGATGAAAATATTGATTGATCCAGGCTCTCTGGAGTAGAATCCAAGACTTAAGAGATAACCCCATGGTTGTGGCTATACAAATATAATTTTAGTAACTAATGTTCTGAATCAAAGTAGGTTCTCTTAAATAATTAACATTAGAAGCCAAAGCGCAAACTAACAAAAAATTTGATACAGGTGAGTATTAGCTAGTTAAGTTTTAGCACGCTAAATTTGTAGTTGCTGTGAGTCACAACCGACTCAACAGCACACAACAATAACATTGCTTGTCTGTGCATATTTTGTTGAAAAGACCAAAACAGAAGTCTTTCCATAGTAACTACATGCATAGATCCTGCTTTTGGATTTGGGGCTTTTTTGCTTTGTTGTTATTGTATGCCAGTCCACTCAGTTCCAACTCATAGTGACCCTGCATAGTGTTTCCAAGGCTGTACATCTTTATGGGAGCAGAAAGCCTCATCTTTCTCCCTCAGATTGACTTGTGGATTTGAACTGCTGACCTTGAAGTTAACAGCCCAAAGTGTAACCCATTGCACCACCAGGCCTTCTGTTTTCACTGTTAGTCTTCATAAATGCTGTTCATTTTTGAATTTGGGGCTGTCTTTGCTATTAGGCTACACAAATACTTTTTAATATTGACACTTCTAAATATATTCATATACAAGGAATGACTGAAAATCTGTGAATACCTATTTTATATGCAGTTTTGAGAGGATCCATTTCTCTAAATAACTTCCCTTACTTTAATATTTCTACTAGAGTTAGGTCTTTGATGTTTTCCCTTCTGATATAAGAAATTTTCAGGCAGATATTTAGCAGTTCTAAAGAAAGTAGATCAACTAAAACCAAACCAAACCCATTTACATGGAGTCAGTTCCAATATATGGGGATGCCAAGTGTTATAAGTAGAACTGCTTCATAGGGTTTCCTTGGCTGTAATCTTTGTAGAAGCAGATCTCTAAGCCTTTCTTTTGCAGCGCTGTTGGGTGGGTTTAATAGTTCAGCACAACCATTTGTGTCACCCAGGAAATTTAGTTGTTGTTGTTATTAAGTGCCATCAAATTGGTTCTGACAAAGTCACCCTGTATAGGGTTTCCAATCTGTTTAGGAAGAAGTGCAGCCAGAGTACTCCTTAGAGGCCAGGATGGCCAAACTTTGTCTTTCATACTTTGGACGTATTGTCAGGAGGGATCAGTCACTGGAGAAGAATATCATATTTGGTAAGGTGGAGGGTTGGAGAAAAAGAGGAAGACCTCCATCGAGATGAATTGGCAAAGTGGCAGCATCAGTGGGCTCAAGCATGGTGACGTTGGCCCAGGATTGGGCAGTGTTTCGTTCTGTTGTATATAGGGTCGCTATGAGTTGGTACTGACGCTATAGCACCTAACAGCAACTATAGGGTTTCTAAGGAGCAGCTGGTGACTTTGAACTGCCAACCTTGTGGTTTGCAGGCTAGTGTTTATCCTACAACACCACACCAGGAGCCTAGGGACCTTAGTAAATCTAAAGAAAATTAGAAATTAGTATAAAGTTAAGAGTGTTTGATTTCCTAATCTGCCCCTTGCTAATCTTTGGGTAATTTTTAGCTATCAGATGTCTAAAATGAATCAGTTAACATAAATTCTATTCTCTCAAGGTTATTTTTAGGTGATTTTTATCCATTTACTGAATACTTACCTTGTTTCTCTTTATTGTGAACCCAATGTCTTCAGTTCCTAAGGAACTGAAATGTAGATTTTAGGACAAATGAGTTCTGGGTCTAAGTATAGGCAATGCCTGTAACAATGATTTCTGTTTTGTTTCTTTTTAAACCACGCAGGAATATATGATCATTTAAAAGTCCCAAGGGCACATTCTGGAAGCCAGTCTCCTGGCTGCCAGCACACAACCTTTCTCTTTCCATCAGTCTAGAGTCCTCAGATGCTCTGAGTCTTTAGATGCTCTATCTCTCCATGCCATCATCTCTGCATCTATCTCTGGTGTTGCTGCTTCTCTGATTACAGTCCCACATTCCACTCATGCTCTTCTCACTTGATGGTCCTAGGGTCCTCTGTTTCTTGAACGTAAGATTAACTACTCCCATCTTTATGTTGCAAAACTTTCACCTTTACTTTTACTAATCGCAATTAGTTATGATAACAATTACTCAATGTTGAATCATAAGAAACTTATCCCCATCTCCTTTCACCAGACCCATCTAGACAAGATGAAAACTATTCAGTGGGGATTCTACCTTCCCCCTCATGCTCTAAAATTAAACTCCCACTTGAAAACTTGAAGCCAGCCACTTCGTGCCTTTATAGCCCATCCCCCTCACCCTCCATTTTAGGTAGCCAATATCTAAGTTGCCCATACCTATCAACTGTGTTTACAGAAGGGACAGGATTGATCTTTGATGTGAAGACTCCTTACCTCTCCATTGAGCTACTATAGCCATAAGTATAGGACAAGTTCATCAAATTGTAGCAATTTACACTTGTTTCCTTTATCAAATTTCTTTTATCTTTCTCTAGTCTTATTCTAATCATCACACCATCAAAGCTAGGTCAAATGGGTACTATCTGCAAGTTTGGGCATTCTTGTGCATCTCCCCTCACTTTATATCAGCTGGACACTTCACTCTCAGCTCTAGCCCTCCATGGCTAGGACCTTGTCCATGGGCTTAGGAGTCCCCAAATCTCACTGCACTTCAAATCAACCAGCTCTTCTTCTTCTCTCTCTTACCTCCAGGTCTACGGGAGTCTCTGGGATGTGGTCAGACTCAGCCCGTATTTTCATTGCTGCCTTTCCCCATTTCCGCTTATCAGTAGACCAGCATGGTTGCCAGCAAGCTTCCATGTCTGCTCGTGTGTTCTCTCTGAGTTTTTGTCTTGAAGGGGGGTTTGTCTTGAAGGGACTTGATTGCTTGCCTTGATGGCTTCCCGGTGTACAACTGTCTTGTTTGTTTTTGTTTTTGATTTTTCCTCCTGGTCTTTCTTTCAAGAAGTATCCTCTATTCCTCTAGCCGCTCTAGGCTGTTCTGCATGCTGTTAAACTAATTTTTCAACAAGAGTTCTATTTTGCTTGGCAACAAAAGAAAGATACTAAATAAAAATTCTCATTAAAGCATGGTGTCAATAGAAGCTTTAGCACTCAGCTGAAATTTATAATCAACACAAACTAAGTCATAGACTTGTGCTCTTGTTTCAGCCATTGTTGTGTGGGATTGGAGCCAGGAGAAGACTCAGAGGAATTTTACAGTGAATTACTTCCATCAGCTGCAGAAAATTTTCTGGTTTTGGGGAGGCGATTACAAACATGTTTCATCAATGCAGCTAAGGTATATGTGCTTGTTTAGTGTTTTATGTTTTGTAGCCAAAAGTTTTAATTCTTGAGATGATATTCCATGTTATTTTATAAATGTGCAGTATTTGTCTAAAAGTTCAACTGGAGTAGTGGTTTTACACTTTTTAAGTTACAGCCAAAAAACAAAAAATCCTCATGTCTATATTAGAAAATTTTACAGTGCTAGTTGAAACAGATGCTAGAAATTTTTGAAGAATTTGCTTTGCTACATGTAAATAATTTACATTGTAAACATATGGGGTGGTGCTAATAGGGTATATGGGGCCTTGGTAGGAAAGGTAGGTTGTAAGAATTGGTAAAGAAGGTTAGAGGGTGGAGGCATGTCTGACCTCTGCCTCATAACATTTGGTCTTGGGCTGATGTTGAGATTATTTATCCCTTCCCCATTGTGAAATCAAAGGAGATCAGAGGCTGCCCCTTTGCCATTTTTGTAAGATACATACACATTTAGAAGTGTTATATCTTTTTGATATACTACATCTTTTGTGAAATGTTTTTCTTAGTCTCCGAAATGCACCTTATCCTGAAGACTTCTTTGTCAGCTATTACAAATATAGCCACTCCAGTTTAGTGTTTGCCTGGTATATCTTTTCCACCCTTTTACTTTTACCTGTCTTTTTCTTATACTGTGCATGTATGTCTATTATGTAGTACAAGGGGTGCCTCAAAAAGTTTGTGGAAATGATGCATGGAGGGGATTGTAACCATGGCAATGAAATGATATGCGATAGGATGAATATAAAGCTAATGTTCTCCCATGTAAACTATCACATAATTCACAATAAAACATTGAAGAAAAAAGTTTGTGGAAAAATTTCATTATCTTCCATTTTCCCACAAACTTTTACAAGTTCTTTTATGCACTATTGAGTATTGCTTTTTCATCTAGTCTGCTCCTCTACTTTTTAATTTAGATCGCTCATTTTCATTTACTGCAGTCATTGACATGATTAGACTTAATTCTAATTTTGTAATTTGTTTTTTAAGTTTGTCTCTCTTTTTTTTTTTTATCCTTTGTTTCATCTTTCCGTTTTACATTAGGATTGATCAGGTAGTTTTTACTATTCACACCTGTGAATCTTTATGGACCCAGACAACCTCATCTTTCTCACTCACAGTAGCTGGTAGGTTTTAATTGCTGTTTGAGGGTTTAGCAGCCCAATGCTTAACACACTGTGCCACCATGGTGCCCTTTGATCAAATATCGATCATTAAACCTGCATAATGCTAAAGACTGACCATTTTTACTAATTAAGCTAAACTATGAAGTCCTGGTGAGGTGCTGTGGGTTAATGCACCAATTTGCAAAGCCATTTGAACTGCAAGGTTGGTGGTTCAAGCTCACCAGCTGCTCCTTGGAAACCCTATACAGGGTTGCTGTGGGTTGGAATCAACTCAATAGCACTTCACAACAACAACAATATTGTTGAGTTTTAAGATGACTTTAGGAGCTATTTTTGGTTTAAGGTTTAGATTGTCTCAGGGTAAATAGTTTCAGGGGCTCATCCATCCTCCACGGCTCCAAAAAAATCTAGAGTTCATGAAAATTTGAAATTCTTCTTTGCTTTTCCCCCTTTTGATCAGAATTGTCATATGGAATCTTTGATAAAAATATTTTGTAATGGAATTCAGACACAATCCAGTTTTGCTTTGATGACAGAGGAGGCAGTTCATGAAGGCTATTGGCCATACATTTCTATTCCTGACTCTCATTTCTTATTTTATTGGCAGTAACTAGACACCAGTTGTTATGTCTTAGATGGCCTTCTTACAAGCTTTTAAGACTCCAAGCACTGCATAATAAGCTAGGAGGTATAATAATACAAAGCATGTTATTTAGGAGCTCTGGCAACATAGTGGTTACAAGTCGGGCTGCTAACCTCAAGGTCATCAATTTGAAACTACCATCTGTTCCACAGGAGAAAAATGAAGCTTTCTGCTCCCATAAAGATCTACAGCCTCGGAAACCTGATGCAGGGTTGCTATGAGTCTGGACCAACTCCAGGGCACACCACCACCACCAAACACGTTACTAGGCCAATTAACTGGGATGTCCAATGAAACCATGACCCTAAAGTTTTAAACCAAGGAACCAAATCCCATGAGATGTTTGGTTGTAACATGAGCAGCCTCAACAGCTACTTTTCTTTTGGTCATTGTTGTAAATATGTCATACTGCTTTTGCCAATTCAACTTTTCAGAGGTGTACAGCTTATTGACTGCAATTACAATAACTGCAAAACCCTACCCATCATCTTTGCTATTCATAAGGTTTTCAGTGACTAAATATTTAGAAGTAGTTTGTCACTCCTTCTTCCTAGTCTGTCTTTGTCTGGAAGCTCATCTGAAACCTGTCCACTATGGGTGACCCTGCTGGTATTTAAAATACCGGTGGCATAGCTTCCAGAATCACAGCATCTCACAAGTCACCACAGTACCAGTACGACAAACCTCATATGCTTGTGAAAGCTGGACAGTGAATAAGGAAGACCATAGAAGAATTGATGCTTTTGAGTTATGGTGTTGGAGGAGAATATTGAAAGTGCCATGAACTACCAAAGAACCAACAGATCTGTGTTGGAAGTGCAGCCAGAGTGCTCCTTGGAGGCCAGGATGGCCAAACTTCATCTCTCCTACTTTGGACATATTGTCAGGAGGGACCAGTCGCTGGAGAAGATTATCATGTTTGGTAAGGTGGAGGGTCAGAGAAAAAGAGGAAGACCCCCAGTGAGATGGATTGGCAGAGTGGCAACAATTGTGAGGTTGGCCCGGGACCAGGCAGTGTTTCATTCTGTTGTGCATAGGGTCACTATGAGTTGGTACCGACTCGATGGCACCTAACAACAACAACCCATCATCAGTGTGATTTTTCCATCACCATTAACCCTGTTTCTCCTCCCCTGGTAACCACTAATAAATTTTGGTATCTATATATTTGCCTTTTCTTGTCTTTTAATGTAAATGAGGTCACACAGTAATTGTCCTTTAGCGATTGTCTTATTTCACTAAGCATATATTCAAGAACTCCTGGTATAGCACCATAGGGTCAGCACTGGACTGATCACCACAAATTCAGCAGTTCAGACTCTCCAGCTGCTTCTCAGAAGTCCTATGGCCGAAGGCACTTAACAACAATAGCAAATATGTCTTCTAGCACTATCCATTCTGTAGCATGTATCACGGCTTCCTATTGGTCGAGTAGAATTCCATTGTATGTATGTACCACACATCCTTAGCCATTCATATGCTGATGACACTTAAGTTGCTTCCACCTTTGGGGCAATGAACATTGGTGTACAAATCTCTTTTTCAGTTTCTGTTCTCAAGTCTGTTGCGTATATGCCTAGAAGTGGTATTGCTGTGTCATGGCAAGTCTATTTTTTGTTTTTTGAAGACTTCATCATACTGTTTTCCACAGCAGCTTTACCATTTTGTATTCCCACCACAGTGGACCAGAGTTTCAATTTCTCTACATCTTTGCCAACATTTTCTATTTTCTATTGTTTTATATCTGAATCATCTTGGTGGTATGGTGGTTGTGTGCCGTGGTGTTGGTTTTGACTCATAGTGACCCTGTATAGCGTCTCCGAGGCTATAAATCTTTGTGGGAACAGAAAGCCTCATCTTTGTCCCTTGGAACAGCTGGTAGTTTCAAATAGCTGATCTTGGGGTTAGCAGCCCAACTTGTAACCAATGGTTCTGATTTACATCTCTCTGATGACTAATGATGATAAGTTTTTTTTCATGGGCATTTGAATATTCTTTTTGTGAGCTGTCTGTTCAAGTCTTTTGCATATTTTATGATTGGGTTATGTGTCTTTGTTAAGTTGTTGAAGTTGTATGTTGTTGTTGTGTTGTTGTTGTGAAGTGCCATCGAGTCGGTTCCGACCCATAGCGATCCTGTACAGGGTTTCCAAGGGTGTAAATCTTTACGGGAGTAGAAAGCCTCATCTTTCTCCCGCGGAGCAGCTGGTAGTTTCGAACCGCTGGCCTTAAGGTTCGCAGCCCGATTCGTAACCACTACGTATAGTTTGGTTATTACATTCTTGTCGGATATATGGTATCCAAAATATTCTCACAGTCAGTAACTTGTCTTTTCACTTTTTTAAAATAGTTTTTGATGAAAAAATTTTAATGTTTATGAGGGCATACTTATTTATCTTATCATTTGCTGTTAGTGCTTTTGCTATTTTATTATATAACTCATATTGAAAGGTAGGAATGCTTACCCATTCTGTACTATTGGGTCTTTATTATTTATAAAGATAAAACATTCTTTAGTAAATATATCAGAATTGATACAGTAAATCATCTAGAGAAGAAGTGAGGCCATGATTACAAGGCAAAAATAAGATAGGGTTAAAAAGGAGCTAGCAAAAATAAAAAACAACCCACAACTGAATTTATTTATTCGTTTTGACTACTAAGGAACTTTCTAGCCGATTTTTAAAAATTGGATAGTGTATATATAGTAGAGCACATCATATAATGCAGATAGGATAGTGGTGATGGTGGTCATGTGCAACCAGGTTAGTTCCAACTCAACAACCTTGTATAGGGTTTCTGAGGCTGTAAATTTTTATGGAAGCAGAAACCCTCATCTACCAGTCTCCCAAGGAATGACTGGTAGGTTTCAACTGCTGACCTTGTGTTTATCAGTCCAGCTTATAATACATTATGCTTCCAGGGCTCGTTTGCACATAGGATATTCTTGTCTAAACTGCAAACTGGTAAAAATCAGAATTAAAGGAACTGAAAAGCACCTGTGCTAGAAATTTGAAATGATTTAGTAGCAAATTACTACACTGTTAGCCAAATGTCAGGAGTCATGAATTTATAGATGACATTGGTTTTGTAAGAAAATAAGTCTGGGGGTACAGAATTATGCTTTAAGATTACTATTGTTCTTTCTGTTTCTTTTGGCAAAACTGGCAAATGGACTAAAAGGCTGGTTCATCTTCTTCTTTTTCATGA